TCCGATTGGACCCGACTAAAAAATAATAATAAAATATATGTTTCAATATATTTACATATTATATTAAATATATACATGTATTATTTAAATATTATAAATCAAAATACATAATTATAATTATTTAAAGGGTGTGGTTTCTATAATGTTGAAACCTTAAACAATCCCATTATGGCACACCTCCAAATTTTATCATAACATGTAATTTTGTTGTAAACAATTCTTAGGATTATCTTAAAATCTATTTTTATATCTAATTAAAAAATTTTAAACTTCAAAAATAATTAAAATCAAGTAGATCTAGAAACATATGAAAATCTTGAAAATAGATGGTCTAGATAATGTGTTGCAAGATGCACAATTTCTAAGACTCAAATTTTTTTTTTTTTTTCATATACATGCATCTGAATATCGAGATGTTCAATTAGATTGTTTTTAAAGATTAAAACAACCATTCCGATATATTTTTGAGGTGCATCTGTAATTCTATATTTTAAGGTTGCAACCTTATATAAACTTTTTTCTTATTTAAATACTCTAAAATATTATACATTAGATATTATTTAAATAATAACACTATTCTGGTAAGATCCACTTGGATTTAGATCCAGAGCCGAATAGTTTTAAAGTTCGACGTTTGGACTTGGAATCCGTCGGATCCAATTTTTTAACCCAACCCAGGTCCGGTCGTCGGGACCCAGGGCCATTACCACCCCAATTAATAATAGCAGCGGTTCCCCTCCTTTCCTCTCTCTCTCTCTCAAACGTTGTTGGGCTTTTGGCTGCAACCAACATTGCCCTCCTAACAACGTTAATCTCCTCATCTTTCTCTCTCTTCCCCCACTCTCTCTCTAACCTTATTGTGCTCAGTGTGGGCCTCTCTTTCTCTCTCTAACCTGCTTGAGCTCACTGCCTACAAAAAAACGTCAGCATTTTAATGCGAGTTGGTCTTACACACAATTGACACAACTCTCAGCATTCTCCCTCTCTCAGTCTCAATGATTTGAGAGAGACTCGATGGAGCCAAATACACGCCCCAAATCCATCATTGTGCCAACTTTTTAACATGAAATTTATCAAGAATTTGAACTTCAGAGGATTTTTTATGCGAATTAAGGAGAAAGGTCAAAAATAGGGGCAGGCTTTTGTTGACAACTTTTTGTCTCTTTTTATTGGTTGTGAGCTTTTCTTGACGACGGTTAAGGACCATGAAGTTTATTTGTTTTGTTTTGTAACACTAATAACTTCTTTTGTATACAATTATACAAAATAGTTGTTTTCTCTTTGATAGTTTAAAAATGGGTTATGTTCGGGTACTATGTGTATCCTAACACAATCCTTTGAAAATTAGTTATTTGCAAAATAACTATATCTTGATATGTTAATATATAATAGTTTTTTGCTAATTTCTTTGTTTTCATAATAATGGTTGTTTAATAGAAATCTTATATTAATATATAAGATTTTAATTCTAATAATTTACTGATATATTAATATATAAGATTTTTTGCTAATATTTTTTTTTTGTTTGTTTTCTTTATGATATCTCTGGTTGTTGTTTTTAGGGTTCAAAGCAAAGGTTATTTTTCCTTTCTTATATTATAGGGCTTCGTTTTTAAATTAATTTTCTCCTTTTTATTTCCTAAAAATAAATAGAATTGGGAAAAATTTATATAAGGTTGCGCTTTTAATTGTCAAGTAATATTACAGTGATCTATATTGTCTATTTTATTTAAATGATGTAGATATCGTACTATATTAAAAGACATGTCATATTTTGATGTTGTCTTTTGAGACATGTCAAATCAGTACCATCCAACTAAATAGACAATTTAAAACATCATAAGACTTTATATAATAAAGTGTAGTCTACTCCGGTTAGAAGTTACTGTCCCTTTTTTTTTTTTTCATTAAAACATTTTTTCTTTACAATCAATTTTGATATAAAATTTAGGGTTTCATAAATAAAAAAGATGTGAACTAGAAAAATAAAGGAAAATCATATATACTTAATTAAAAATCTCAAAAACTAAATTAAAAAAAAAAATAAAAGAAAAAGAAGGTTGTAAGGACTCGGTGGTCTAAGATTTATGAGTATCTAAGGGGGGCAATGGACGGGCTCCCCCCGCCTGCCCAAGGCCTGGTCCAGGAATGGAATATTGGCATGTGCTCTAACTTGGACCATGGGTCATGAGCTGGCCTGCCCCGCCCATACTTTTTTCGTTTTCTTATTTATATAATTGGCCTTGCTCGGCCCAGCCCAAACCATCGATGACGATAGGTTGGCAATCCTGTAAAATTGTCCACAATGAGTTCTTTACCATGAGCACAAGGACTTATCAGGAGATCACCCATCCTAGTACTACTTTTGTTAAAGCGCGTTTAACGTCGGAGCTTAGATGGGATGCGGTGCATTAGTACTAGTATAACCGCACCTTGTAAAGTTTATTTTTAATACAAAATATCATAAGATCATTAAAATTCAAGATCTAATGGATTAAATAGCAATTAAACATAAGGATAATCAAAAGTAATGTGCTAGCTTTGTTAGGACTTTAACCAAACCCCACATGGGCATGGTTGGTGTAGGTTGATCGGACCTAGTTTGGTTTGGGCTGAACCTATATTTGTTCAGATCCAAGACTCGTGCAAGTACATATTAGTTACGTTCGGACCAAACCTAGGTCCAGTCGACCTGACCTGATCATTATCTCAAACCTTGCAACCTTAGCAATGGGCCGGCCAACTAGCCTAATACAGTTGGCATGGCTGTGGGTAGGGTTGAGAATGCGTGGGATCGGATCTGGATCCATGGGGATTCAGATTTGGATAATCCAAATCCAAATCTAAATATGATCGGATCTAAAATATTTGGATCCAAAAAGTATACGGGATTTGGATCGAGACATCAGATCCAAAAAATTTATTTTATATATTATTTTATATCTACAAAATAATATATAATAAAAAATACTATATAATATATAGTATATTAATAATCGGGTCGAAATCGGATCAGATATACTTGTATCCACATTCTATCTGGATTACTATTCAGATCCATATTGGATCCATATATTGACTCAAATAGCTCCCAAAGACAGAAAAGGCAACATTATCCAAAATTTTGATCAATATCTTGCCTCTTTCTTTGACCTTTCGTGGCCCTCAAAAAGAAAAGAAAAAAAGAAACCGTCGCAATAAAAGCACATTTCAAACGCTCACTTGTATTGTTCCTAAGCACTCCACATGACGCCTTCCTTTCTCTCTTCCTCTCACTAAAAGCCCCACTTTCTCTCTACACACACACACACACTCTCTCTCTCTCCTCTTTTTAAAATCCCAACACACGTTCTTTGACCGAGGACGCAATTACCACGTCTAAAAATGCCCGCAACTTGTATCCACTTTAAAAAGAAGAGGCCGACGCCGTGTTTCTCTCTCTGTACTCCCTATACCCTTTAACGGCTTAAAATATATCCCTCGAGCCATCTTCCTAGAAAACCCACCGTGGGCCTTAAATAATAGCCCACGTTGATAAAATCCACGTCAGGGATTGTAATTTAATATTACTTTCTCGCCTTGTGCCTTTAAATACCACACTGCGAGGGAGAGGGATTTTCAGGCCTCGGGGTTTAGAGAGAGAAAGATGGGGAGAGC